ACTGCTACTATTTCCTCCTAAATTCACCACAAACATAAACTAGTGGATGGAGGGATAGATAGAAATAACACATTCTAGATGCTAGAGTTAAAGAGGCAAAATCCTAAATTCAGTTCTATCCTTCACAGCTTATGTGACTGGAAGACATTTATGGCCTCTCCAATCTCAGGGCTCCTAAATTGGACATGAGTGTTTTAAGAACAGCTGTGGGACTAGGACACAGGTCAGTGGGGGATGGGATTGGGACACAGGTCAGAAGAGGACTACCTACTTCCTATGTGAGAGACCAGGAATTTCATCTCAAGCAACATACAGAGAGAGAAGAAAGGAATCGGGGAAGGGATAGAGAGGTGTTTACTAGGATAACTAAAATCAAAAGACAAGCAGTAACAGCAGTTAGCAAGGCTAGAGGGAAACTGCACTCCTCACATACTATGATGGGCATTTCTCAGTTACACGGCATCGTAATATGACCCACAATTCTACAAATCTACCAAAGAGAAATAAAGGCACATACCCACATAAAAACTTGAATATAAATGTTCATCACATGTACTCATGGTAACAAAACAAAAAAAGTTAAAATAGCCCCAAAGTTCATAGAGGAAGAGAAACAAAACACTTCAGCTATTCTACTAGGATAAAAAATGAAACAATGTACAGTTCACAAAAAAGCCAGTACAAAGAGCCACTCACTGAGTGATCCCATCTTTGTGAAGGGTTGGAAGTAGACAACTTCCCCCTAGAAAGCAGATTAGGGGTTGCCCAGGCTGAGGAGAGAGGGGCAGGTTGCATGACATGTAGATTCTAAGATAATACTAAGAAATGTTTTAAGGTTTGTTGTGGTGACGGATATACAACATTGAACAGACTTGAAGACCCTGGATTGTACATCTGACCTGCACGTAGTATGTATGTGAATTTCATTCCAATAAACTGTTAAAAGTTAGGCAAAAGCACTCATACACATGCTTAATAAAACAAATAAATCATAAAACAAAAATGGACCTGACAGCATGACCTCTGGGAAGTTAATCCCTTATCTGTGCCTCAGTTACCACTTAGATAAACTACCTCATATAGTGTGGTATAACAAAGCAGCTAATACAGAGCAAAAATGAGGTCTACAATCCTATGAATGGCATGATGCTTTGCTACTTGTTTTACCAGAGACCAGAGACTCAGCCATTAGTCAAAAGCCATGCAGCTAAAAACAGTTAATAGCAATAAGAGCCGACAATACTGATGAGAACCTATTCTATACTTACTGCAAGAAGTGAACTTTAGCTCTAAGTGAGATGACAACTTCTAAAATTTCATAACTTTCTAAATTAAGAGACAAATATTCAAGATATTTTCTGCTTCCCACAACTCCAAGTAAAGCCTATCTAGTACTACTTGATCAACAGGGCCCAGAAATACCATATTTACACACACACACACACACACACACACACACACACACACACGCACACACAAAGGCTTGTAGTAGACAATAGTCGAGTCAAGCTACCCTAACATTTCCATTGACTAGGACACTTTTATAGAAATGGAACTTGTCATCTGAACAAATAGGAATTCGGCCCTGTCTCCTTTCACTTTATCTCACCAATCCATTTTCATTCCCCATCTTCCTCCCCCCCCAAAAAAAAATACCCGATTCTTTCTTACTGTCAGGTATTCAGTGTGATACCTCACCTCCACATCCATTCTTTGGGGGGCTCTGTGATAACAAGTGGTACCTTGTCAACAGGGGGCACAGGAGACAGATTGTCTCTTTATCTGAGAGTAGTGACAGTTCTCTACAGTCATACTTATAACACCCTTTAAGGAATAACTAAGTACCATTACTAATCAATAATTACTCATGGTAGTTCATCTTACTCAATTTTCTTTCTATTGGCTGTAATTCATGTACACTGGTGCTTTTTTCCCCATTATCTTCGGAGGATTTTCAAACACGTTAGAATTTACAACTAGTGGCTAATTGTTTTCTAACCTGAGATTACAATAGGTGGTTTCAAATATCACACTTAATAGCTAAATAGAAAAAAAAAAAGATCTTGTTTTCCACACAGTATGAAAATACTGATTAGATTTTAAAGATATGAAAAATCACATTTACAATTATGCATTTTTTTTATATCTTGGGCATGGAAACATGTTAAGCTGTGTTTTATTTCATGGTTCTCAGCCTTCAGAAATGAAGAAGCCATTACAGATCTGCATGGCAGGGTATTTACCCTACAAGCTGTACTTCTGAAGAATAGTTCTAGTTATAATCAAACACTGTCAGAACCACCAAGAGAAATCATTAAAAGCAGCAAATCCATGGGTTTGTAGAAAGCTTTCTGTAATAAATCAATAGTAAAACAGCCTATTCTTATAAGAGGTGCACATTTGCTATGAACAAAACTTGCTAAATACCGAATACCTTATAAACAATGAACCAGGTACTTTGGATGAAGAGATAAATAAGTTAAAATGTCATTTAATTATGAGGGAGAGAAGACATTCAGTTAAGCAACTGGCTAAAATACTTTCAACTAAAGTTATTTCCTATGATCAGCTAAGACATATAAAGCAGAAGCACTTAGGATAGAAAACTAGAAGATGATCAATGACTACCAAAATTTAATGTTAACGATTTACATCACAGCCCTTTACTAAATGCCTGAAGAATGAGCCACAATTCTCTCCCTCAGTGAGCTCATCATAGAGTTAAAGGTATAAAAGCATGGACCTTCCACATTAGCACACATTTTTGCACTAGGTAAACATGAGAAATGCTGGGAACACAAAGCACAATGAATACCCACTTGGGGCTTGAGAACATTTGGCTGTATCTGGGAGAACAGGCAGTTCATACAGAGAACACAAAAGAGCATTTACATGCAGAACCCAAGATTTAGGAAGGGACTTGGTGAGTGTAAGGCAAGCTGAATTGATAGGTGTGTTTGAATACAGAGCCCATACAGGTACCTAGGGAAAAGAATCCCAAGGTAAAATGTGGCTTGCATCTTTTAAAGGGGTGATATAAGTTACTCACAGCCTCCATAAGGCAGCATAGTATCATGAGGAGGATATTTATAGCATCAATAGGATCCCCTCCTCCTCCTTCATCGCCAACAGCTGCTAAAGAGGAAGTCCAGCTACCAGGGCTGATGAACAAGATACACACACCTGAGCAAACAGTAAGCCGAGTGCTTAGGTATTAGAGTTAGGGTGAGCCTCAGTAAATAACACTTGAGATTTAAAGGTACACAATTCAAAGTACATCCTGCCTGGGCAGTAGTACTGAACCCCAGAGCTGGCCCCACCCAGGATCCTATAATTGTGCTATATGGCAAATTTGGAAGTAAGTAATAAAAAGGTTATTAGAATTCTTGCCAGCCTACTCAGAACTGAGTTTCCTTCTCTTACTGTTAAGTCAGATATCTACTTCAAGAAACAGAATTACAATGTAACAATCTGGATTTGGGAAGCTGTAATACATATTAAATTAGTTATCAGTACATTCTCAGGTAATGAATAATGATGACTAGCCTTTGGCTGCTCTAACATCTCATGATACATGACGAAAGGGATCTCCAGTTTTTCAAATGAAGCAACAAGCCTGTTCCAGCTTGTTTTTGTAGTGAGTGAGCCCACACACACACACACACACACACACACACACACACACACAAACAAATACACACACACACAGAGAGAGAGAGAGAGAGAGAGAGAGAGAGAGAGAGAGAGGACTTTAGATGTTTACTGGCTTTATCTTCCTTAACTCTTATCCCAACCCCTGAGAGGGGAGTTGAAAAGCAATACATTTTACCAAAGGCACTACATAAAAAAGAGAACAAGCCTAGCAGAAATGTCTTAGGACCTAGCCATCTTATGCTACTCTCAAAGAAAAGGAAGACTGAAGGGCCAAAAATAAGGTTCAGTGGGTAAAGGTGCTTGCTCTCAAGCCTGACAACCTGGGTTCAACCTCTGGGATCTATTCACAGGGCAGAGAGAAAGAGAACTGAGTCCTCAAAGGTATCATCTGACTTACACTCACTCACACACACACACACACACACACACACACACACACACACACACACACACACGTGCGCGCGCGCACGCGCGCGCGCATGCTTACATGTGAGCACCCACACATATTTTAAAATAAGAGAAAACAAAGAAAAGGGAAACTGAAAACACAGAATGAAGTGAACAGGACCACCCACACCCACTACAGCACCAAAAGATTATGATTCAGAGTCAACTGCTGCCTGAGGGACTGTCTTCATCCATGGCCATCCAGTCTTCCAAGGCAGTAACAGAGCATGGGACAGACCCATTGTCTTCATCTTGAACAGGAAAACGTGGTAGCCACTGGCCAAGGAGCCTAACTTTACATGTCCTATAAATCGCATACTGACCCCTGAACTTCCAGGCTTTGAGTAACATTCCCTACCTGGGAGAGACCCTGACTAGCAAGATGTTGGGCACACATCAATGGACTCTCAGAATGAAAGGCTCCATTCTCAATATATTAAAGAGGCAGCAAGAGAGAGGTTCCGTGGTTAAGAGCACTGGCTGTTCTTACAGAGCACTGGACCCACATCGGGTGCTTCACAACCACCTGTAATTCTACCTCCAAGGATCTGATACCCTCTTCTGACCTCTATGGAAACCCACCTGCATGTGCTTAAATAGTAAATAAAAGAAGCACTAAATTAAACAGATTTCATTTCTTTTTCTGAAGACTAATCAGGACTTTTAGTGGCTAATGCACTGGAATCCCACAAAGGAAGAAAATTCCTACAGCATTTCTAAAACTTATTGACCATAGGACTACCTACCCTCCTGTCATAGTCCAGAGAAGTATAACATCTCCCACATCACTGCCTGACAAATCTGGAAATTGCAATGAGTTCACATGTAGACAGAAATTTTATTATTAGTGACAGAAAACACACATGAACCCTTTAGAGAAATAAAGAGGAATTCATTACCATGTGGTGGTCATCTCCATAACATTCCCTCTGTAGCACTTCCAAAAGATTCAGAGCCAACTGCTGCCTGGAGGGACCTTCTTCTCCCATGGCCAAACACTCTTCCAAGGTGGTGGATGATAGTATCTGCAGAAGAGGCACCACAAGCAGCAGAGATGCCTTTGGGATTTTCTGACCCTCAGCAAGAGAGAGGAGCTTCAAAGCTAATCACCAAAATAGGAAAGCACATTTTTTTCAATTAACATGACTCAAACAGAATACTATTTTACCAGTAAAATGGAGTTTTTCTTGCCCTTTTACAACCAGCTCAGACACAACTAAGATGATAAGTCACAGTAAAAAACGAGTAACACTAACATAAAAACTAATTGTATCTTTTTAAAACTGTTGATATTTTAACAAAAGAATAAGGATACCTTTAGAAACAACATATATTATGCATCAAAAGGTATATATAAATCAATTCCATTCTTTGAGAACTGTGAATTTTTTAATACTATTAAACATCTGTCTTTTACAACATCTCATATCCTACTAGCAAATGACCAAGAGACCATGAGTACCTGGTCAGTGGAAAATGAGGACAGCACACATGCTTCTTTGACATATAAGTCAAAGTCATATTAGCAAATGCTTAAGAAAACAGAAGGTAGAGTGGTGCTGCCTGTCAGCTAGACCACTAAGAAGTAGACCACAGAACTCCACAGACACATCCACAAAATCTTTTAAAAGCAGTCAAAGGTCCCATCTCATGGAAACTCAGCCTCCGAATCAGAGGAATACATACAAATGTGCAGTGAGTTAGCCACACACAGGATCTCCCAGAGCCTAATTACAGAATGAGTTAGAATATCAGTAAACTGGTTTTTCGGTTTGTTTTTTGGTTTTTGTTTTGTTTTGTTTTTACTATATTTTTTAAGGCTACTGAATAACCTGATTTAAAGATGTATATCATAGGCTTGAGAGCCAAATTATCAAAGTAATCAAGTAATTTCCCCACTACATTACACCCCCCAAAACAAAAATACTAAATCATGTCAATACATTGTCAGTATGTTGTTTTAAATCACTTGGAAGTCAAACCTTAACATGAGCTGAAGTACAAACACATGTTACTATAGCATTATTTTCCTTAAATGTTGGCCTTGCTCCATAGTTGTCTCTAAGACATTATAAACATCTATTATCTTTTTTTAAAAAGGAAACACACAGCAAACATATTTGATATCATGTTACAAATTTTCCAGTTATTTTATAAGCTATTATTTATGATAAAGACTAGTGTTAGTAAGTATACAGTACATTATATTAATGCTTGCATCTTGAATTTGAATAATTGACATTCTCTTGATTATCTATTACTTTGAAAACTAAATAGTTTCCCAATATACTAAACAGTTTCAAATTACAGACAGTCTCAACCAAATTCAGTGTGGTTTATTCGCTTAACCAGAATAACCTCAAAACAGGCATTGGCTTACAAAAGAAAGAAAACTCTGCAAGCTAACAGCTGCTCGAAGCATTTGCTTGGTCCAGTGTCATTTTTCTATTGTACATGAGCCAAAACATACGTTTGCAACTTCAAAATTAGAAAGCCAGTTTCCCTAGGGCTTTGGAATTTTTTTGTCAATAAAACAAATACAATCCATTTATTAAAAAGGCAAAGTCTACAAGGACAAAAGACAGTAGAGCCATTGAGGTGGGTCAGTGGATAAAGTGCTTGCCCTGCAAACCTGGGTGGCTTGAGTTTCAGCCCTGGAACAGTAAAGGTGAATGCCTTCGTTATCTGACCATACATGCATGTAATACTGTGAGTTTGTGTGTGTGCATGCACACATATACAATAATAATGATAAACATTTATGTTGTTTATTTTTTTATTTTATGTATGGGTGTTTTCCTTGCATCTATCTGTGCACCACATGTATGCAGTGTCCACAAAAGTCAGAAGAGGGCATAGGATCCCTGGAACTAGAATCACAGACAGTTGTTAGGTGGCCATGTGAGTGATAGGAACCAAACCCAGGTCTTCTGGAAAAGCAACCAGTGCTCTTAACTCCAGCCCCAAAACATTTTTTTTTTCCAAACACTAAGTATTGTTTTCTCTCAGGCTGCAATTGGAAGTGGTGATTCACACCATTAGACACAATAAATTTAGGGGACAGTGGTGATAGGAAAATTCTGAAACTAGATTGTACTCCTGGTGGTACAGACCAATGAATTTAAAATATTTTATTGTACATTTTCAGTGGTAAATCTCATAATATGTAAATTATACCACAATAAAACTTTGTGAAAGAAACAGAAGTAGCTTCCAGAAAGATGTCATGTGCACTTCCAGAGAAAAGGAAAAGCTGATCCAAAGGATACTAGGGAAGAACAGACAAAGAACATGAGGCCAAAGCAGTCTAAGAGACCAGGTCTCCTCCATGTACTGAGGCCATTTCCAAGCAATTTACTCTCAAGATGCTGACAAATTAATGTCCCAAAGGAGAAAGCACAGAAGAAATTTATCTAAGGCACTTTAAAGTAATTTGCAGTCCCTTATTACAACATACTTGATATTAGACAGAATAAACTTAAAAAACATCAAGGAAACAGCATAATTTAAAGATATGTCGTATTTGCCCATCAGTGAGAGTGAGAAACTTGACTCTTGCACTCTTCATAACTAGCACCTTTTGCTTCCCTCTCTATTGCCTTCTCTTTCCTTCAAAATTAAGACAACCAAAGGAGCATCATCATTCATCTGACCTCACTAAGTTAATAAAACATTAATTAACTTGCACAGTGTAGTATCAACTATAAATTAGTCTTTTTTTTTTTTGCAGTGCGTGCCTGTGTGTGTGTGTGTGTGTGTGTGTGTGTGTGTGTGTGTGTGTAGAAGTCAAAGGCCAACTCATAGAATCAGTTCTGTCCTTCCACCATGTAGTTTCTGGGGATTGAACTCAACCTGTCAGGTATGACAGCAAGTGCCTTTATCCACTGAGCCATTTCCTTGGCACAAAATAGAATCTTAAAACAAAAACAACCTGCCAAACAATTTCTTATAAGAGTCTTATATATTATTCTCATTTTGATATATAATTATGAATAAAGAAAATGCCCATATATAAATTTTTAAATGGCATTGTACTATCACTTCTATCACAGCCTAAGGTGCATGAAAAATACTGGGCAATGTATGAGATGTGGAAACATGCACAGGCTACTACTAAGGTAAGAAAAAAAATCTACTTGAAACTAGACTAGACTAGAAACTCAAATATGTAGAAGAGCATGATATACTACTCTTGAGACACCTGCCAAACTTATATTTACATTGTTCTCTAGAGAATGTATTTTTATTTACCTAGGTTTAATATTGGCTTCTGTTGACTTGCCGGAGTCTGTAGAAGTAGTAAAGCAATCCCAATAATGACCAATTTGACAGGAAAATCCTAAAAATATAAGAGAATAAAAAAGTTTGTCGAAGAGAATTCAGAAACTATGGCTTTCCATGTATCCAAGGAAAGTGCATTTCAATGAGCAGCAATAATCACTGCAGTGTCTCACGAAGTCTGCCCTACTGAAGAAATAACTAGCAAATAACACACAAAGTAAGTTAAATGCTAAATTAGTGTCTAAAAACCAACAGATTTAAACCAAAATAATTCCAAAAGAAAAACTTTGGTTTTTGCTTCACTCGGTCCTGTTTTGGTTGTTTGGCCTGGTTTTGTTAAAGAAGAAAACTTTCTACCACAAGTCTTCAGAGGAGCAAACACTTGTAAGCTACCACAACAGCCAGAAATGATGGACTTAGGAACATTTCATTGGGAAAAAGTAGCTAAATTTTCCTACTTACCTAACATTAAACAAATTCATCTATATAACTTATAAACTAAATTATATGAAATATAGTTTAATAAACTATTCATTTAAAAGAAATACAAATGTGAAGGACATGGGGATTGTATTATAAAGATGAAGAAGGTAGGGGTTGTAATTTATCAAGCACATTTAACTGTAACAAAGAAATAACCATGGAATATAAAATCACTAAGTTCAGCAAGGACATAAGTAAAGTGAATAAGACATGTACAGTAAGTTCTAATCAAGATAACAGAAGATCAAAACAAGAAAGATAACTTCAGTCCATTCAGAAATTTTACAGAAGAGCCTACAGAGTCAAATTGTAAGGATGAAGACAGACAAAAAAAAGAAAAAAATGGGGGAAAGACATGTGACACAGTCCCATGGAGGGAGGGGGGAGGGGAGAGGGAGTGGTGGGGAAGCAGAGAGAAAACAGTTGTATCTGGCAGAAGTGATACACTGTGGGACCCTATCAAATCTAACATAACCAATAACCCCTCCACCTCACCTTTACCACTGCAAGAATGAAACTGGACTACAAACTTCTAAATCCCTGATTTGTAGGCTTAAAAAACAAAACATCAAAAGAAAGAAATTAATTAAACATGCCAATTTGTGTCTTTTGTAATTATTTATGTTCACTGCTTTGAAATATAGTTGAAAGCAAGGAAGCAAGCAATGCATATTATCAGAGGATAAAAATCGGTTTTTGTTTGTTTGTTTGTTTTTGTTTTTCAAGACAGGGTTTCTCTGTGTAGCTTTGGAGCCTATCCTGACACTTGCTATGGAGACCAGGCTGGCCTCGAACTCACAGAGATCTGCCTGCCTCTGCCTCCTGAGTGCTGGGATTAAAGGCGTGCGCCACCAACGCCCGGCAATAATCACTTTTGAAACCAATATATTCACGATGTACACCATTATATCATTTTCTGCCTATTCCTCTTAGTTTCTCTATGTCCATAAAACAGAAAGGTAGTAAAATTGTTTACATTCCAAATTTGGAAATTTCGAAGAGGTTCATAGACAAAGCATGACAACGTTCGCTCATGACTTGGCTGAATGCCTCTATCATACGAGCTGTCATTGGAAAAGGGGAGGGAGAAGCATCTTAAAATCAGAATAGAATCATTTCAATGATTAGACCTCACAGCTGAGTAATCATAAATGAAAATGACCTTCTCCAGGATGCATGAGACTCGTCCACACAGGACAGAGAGCCACAGAAAGGAGCTGGGATATCAAAAATGCAGCAAGAGTGAATGGTGCAGGATTAAAGAAGTAAATTTTAAGTTGCTTAGCAATTTTTGGTTTAGTTGTTTGATTGATAGACACCAAAACATAATAATGTGTGTTAAACTCTGTATTTTTAATTTATTTTTGAAAATTTCATAAATATTCAATGAAATATGATCATGTCCAGCCCCAACTTAATTCCCTCTTCCTCCCCCCTCCTAGATTACCCTCCTCACAAAACAACTACCCAGCTTCATGCACCTCCTCTCTCTCTCTCTCTCTCTCTCTCTCTCTCTCTCTCTCTCTCTCTCTCTCATTAGCCCACTAATTCCTATTAGTGCTGCCCATATGTGCATGGTTGTAGAGTCATCCACTGAAACATGAACCAGTGACCACACCACTGTGTTGGTATTTCGCATGCCTCTTCCAGTAACTACAACTGCTTCTGTCATAACATAAACATGCACTGCAAAGCATCAACCTGACCATTTTCCCACATGGTCCCACAGCACAACTCTTCACTTTCTGTCCCCAAAATGCAAGCTCTAGATGTTCCAGCCCCACCAGGGAAAGCTTCAAACTGGCAAGAGGATCGTGTGGACAGAATGGTTACTCACTGCCCAGAATCCTTCTTCATGGTCTGAAACATTCCACAAGGCTTCTGGGAAGTCTATGGACTGAAGTAATCAAATGCTTATAGCAAAAGTCATATTGCCATATTTCTCCCAGCTCCTCCCTTCCCAGTTTGCTTTCTGAGATCACATCTGTAAATGAATTCCATTCTCATACCTTTTTTGCTTCTGTGAGAACATGAGCTCCACTTGGCTTTAGAGAAACTCAGTCCAACACAGAGCCTGGCTACAGAAAGGAGGAGAAGTGAATGAATGCCTTTATAATAGCTACAAGTGTCACGGGATTCTTAATGACAGAAAATATTCGGGATCACACTTTGGGTCCCCAATTCAATTGAAAGATAAAAATGAACACTATCCATATGACAGGCACTAATAACATATGCTGGCCTAGGGATGTGACCGTTAACAAGATAGCCCCTCTTCTCAAGAATTTTACAAACTTAGTCATGGAAATGTATTTTAAAATAAAGTAAGAAAAGGGTGTAATAAAGTTTGCCTCCTGCAGAAGTCACAATGGAGAAGGCAACTCTGCTCACATACTCCCCCCCCCCAACCACAGCTTTGCTTCAGCCCTTGTCCTCCAGAGAGTGGGCTCCACCAGCTATGCCCAAACTAACTCACAGAGAACACAAAGGTGAAGTGGGTCATCTGGTGACAGTTTCTTAGAAATGGCCAGTCCCTAACCTTTGTAAAGCTACCATGTTTAGTCTTGTCCTACACTTGGAGAAACTGCCCAGTTTCCTCTAAATTTATATTTTTTTGTTAATAGAAGTACACTAACATTTAAACTAAATATTCAGCAGATGAACCCAGCAGAATGGTGATGGATGGTAGCCCCAAAAAACATAAGAAGGCTTCTTTATCCCCTTCAAATCGATATGCATTTGGCATTAAAGGTTATCAAAATTTTAAACAGTTTTTTAACCTCAGGAACATTATCATAAGGATAAGCAGCAGAAACTTCTTAACAAACACATATATAATAATCTGGGATTTGGGGGGTTTTTTGTTTTGTTTTGTTTTTTTGTTTTTGTTTTTGTTTTGTTTTTTTTGACACAGTTTCTCACTAGGTTTCTCTGCCTGGCCTGAAACTCACCACGTAGACCAGGCTGGCCTCCAACTCACAGAAATCCACCTGTCTCTGTCTTTTGAGTGCTGGGATTAAAAATGAGCACCACCACACTCAGCTTTTGTTTTTGCTTTGAAGTATATCAACTCTGTAGGCCAGAGAGGTCTAGAACTCACTATCTCAACCTGGCTCCAAATTTACAGCAATCCTCCCGACTCTGCCATTCATGTGGTATAATTACAGGTGTGGATCATCACAATTGCTTCCCATTACCTGTAAATAAGGTCCTATAAAAACATTTATCTTACTCTATTCAAATTGCTTATTTATAATCTTATATCTTGAGATCACAGAAAATGTGCAGGTTCTTGAATATACCATTTGTTCAATACTTACACTCCATATGACTAAATGGGAATGAAGTCATAATCTTATGACATAAGATTATTTAATAATTTATTTATAATAAATATCTGTAGTAGTATGATCTAACAGCGTAAGATAAAATCACTTCAAACAAATAATAAACTACATAAACATGACCACCCAGTTTCTCAAAGATCTTCTAAAGTGATAATTAGCACACTGAAGGTTTATGTTGGCCTTACCTCCCCAAGAAGTTCAATGCTGCACTCTAAGAGTTGAATTAGAGATGAGCATTCCCCAGTTATCTTTAAACTGACTTCACATATACACAGCAGCTGAAGGGTGAGTTGGGTAAGCTGACTTTTCCAGAACACAGGATGGCGCAGAAGGCTTAGATACACTTCCTCAATGAACAGCATCATCTCTGTTGTCTGTGTCAGATCTCCCATCTGTTGGAGGAAGTCATACTGGTTAAAATTATAGAATAACTTCAAGCTATACAAGAAGTTCTCAGTAGAATAACTCTCTCTAAATGAATAAAAATTTGAAGGAGATGTAGTCATGTAACTGTGAGTGTTCCACTCCACATCTCTGCCTTCTCTTTTTGTCACTAACCACGGAACATTTTTTTACTGCCTTTACTGCTCTTGTCTCAGACAAATTCCACAGTCAAATACTCTGCCACTAAGTGCAACTCCCAACACAAATTACTTCTATTTTCTACGTTCTTTGAAAAACAATGTCTTGGACAAATGATGTGTAGTGTCTATATGTCAAAGGACATCACCTCAAAGCTGGTTTTCAGTTCTCCTACAGTTTAACACAGACACCTGGTCTTAGGGTCATCGTGTTATCACCATACACTAAGGTCTCCCTCTACAATCCTTAGCAGAAGCATCATTATGCACAGTGAATAATGTAATAAAAGAGCATGTTTAAAGGATAGTTGTATTCTTAACAGGCTAATGCATTAGACAAGAAGGACTTGGGTGCCCTTGAAAATCCCAATTCCATTTACACCCTGCTGTTCTGTTCAAAATTCTGGAGTTAGTATTAAGGGTGTGGTCCTGCTCACAGCAACCATGGTACTTCCCAGGGATCATAAACAATGAACCATCTGCTCCAGTCAGGATGCTTGTGTGTGGTATGTTCGTTCATCAAGAGAAAAGCCTGCAGTGTCACCACTGCTTATCACCATTAGAAAAAAAGACATCAATACAAGTTATGCACAAATAGAGTTCTTAGAAAACCAGAAAGATTCCAAAAGATGAAGGGGAAAGAAAGAACACACATTAAAAAAATTAAAAATAAAATATAACAGCCCAATAGCTAAATTATTCTGTTCTCTTTTAGTTACACTTATTTATCATGTGTGCAGGTGTGCAAGTATGCAACTACATGGGGAGGTCTCAGGACAACTTGCAGGAGTTGATTCTCTCTCGCCTTCTGCAATGTGGATCCCAGAAATCAAACTCAGGCCAGCTGGCTTGGTGGCAAATGCTCTTACCTATTGAGCCATCTCACTGACCCTATTTTGTTATTTTGCAAATATAAAGAAAAATGTTGAGCCGGGCGTTGGTGGTGCACGCCTTTAGTCCCAGCACTCAGGAGGCAGAGGCAGGGGGATCTCTGTAAATTTGAGACCAGCCTGGTCTACAAGAGCTAGTTACAGGACAGCCTCCAAAACCACAGAGAAACGCTGTCTCAAAAAAACAAAAAACAAAACAAAATGTTAAAAGGGTAAACAAAGAGATGGACTAAATACAAAGTGGTGATTTATTTCCTTTAGTATGTTTATTGTTTATATTGGAAATTTTCCATTAAAAAACAATCTCAACAGATTAGCTATAAAAGTTCTCTGGTTTACATAGCATTATCAAATTCTTAAAAATAAATTCAAAGTAATGTTCTATCTCTATGTAAAAATAGATCACTTAGCATGGATAATGTATAATGTGATAAGAATCATTTAAAATAAAAATGAGTTGGGGCTGGAGAGATGGTTCAGTGGTTAAGAGCACTGACTGCTCTTCCAGAGGACCAGGGTTCAATTCCCAGCACCCACATGGCAGCTAACAGCTGTAACTCTAAGATCTGACACCCTCACACAGACATGCATGCAGGCAAAGCACCAATGCACATAAAATAAAAATAAATAAATTCTAAAAGAAAAAAAAACAAGTTGCAAAACATAAAAAGGAAAGGCAACCAGTTGAAAAGGAAGTTAAGCAGGTGTCTCACTGACCCCCTCATCTTAAATCAATGGGGGGGGGCTATTTCTCAAAACACAGTAGTAACCTCAGTGTGCTTCCATCCTAGTGTCCAGTATGGATTGGGCCACATCCACAACACTACATTCACCCCCGAGAAGAACATTCCTCACTAGCACATTCCGCACACCTCCCAATATACTAATACAATGGACAGTGAAAATTCAAGAAGCCATTTCATGAGAAGAAGTGGGTTTTGTTGTTAGTTTGTTTGTAATGATGCCCAAATGGAAAGGAGAGAGACGGGCAAGAAGGATAGGAAGACAGAAAACCCAAACAAGACCAAACACAGAGAGGAGCTTTAAAACTCGTGTTTTCTTATAGGAAGAAGAGAGACTAGTGGGCAATTGTTTCAGGAAGATCAGTAGAAGTACTTGAAAACAGTGTACTTCTCAGGAGTATATTCATTACCCTGGGTGAGTACTGTTTAAAGACTACAAAAATACCTTCCACATGCAGAGAACTAGATTATGCAGCCTCTATGACTGCTAATTCTCATTCTTTCTCTTAATACAACAAATTTGTTACACAACTTAACATGATATTTCCCTTTTTTCTCATGTGTCACAGTTACAGTAAATAAGACAGGGTCTCCCGAAACCATTCCGTAGTGTGCTTCTACAAGCATCTAAGCTTTTCATGAAGGACTTCACAGAACATGGTAATAAAGGCACGGTCGGGAAACTGCCCTAGTTGAAGACCTTCTGCCTATATGTGCTTTATTACCCACGCAAAACAAAAGCTTTAGAAAAGCCGCCAGAGAATTGATTTTAATTAACTTTTCTCTGCCTTGATTACAGGAAAACACATTTATGAGTCACAGAGGAAAGATTCACTCTAGCCACTCCTTGCTAACACAGACTTAAAGCAGGTCATCTGTGACCCAAAGTGATCATTTTGAAATATACCCTGAGATTCTTTCCATCAGCTGAGCAGCATGGTGCTCAGATTCCTGCTAATGGCCTGGCCTTGATCAAGGGATGGGATAGCCTGACAAATGAACCACTACGATAAAATCACAGCACACTGGCAACTGCATGTTTTGTAATATGCAGTCATAGAGATAGTAACTAAAATTACTCTCTCCCCTCAACTCCCTTAGCACTTTACCAGTAACTCAATACCTCGATCCACCTCTCCATAAGGAATTACAAGAAGTGACATACTAGCTCATGTCTTATACTGTGGGTTTCTGAAGAGCAAGAGCAAGGGAAGCCAATGGGTCCTAAAGAGACAGGTGGGAACTCAAACGTACCACTCAGCAGGCCGAGTTCTGCATCCTCACAAAAGACTGACTCAGAGACATGCTTTTTGTTCAATTTGCACAGAGGTGTTTGATTTTGTTCTGGTTATCTTCTAATCCTTAGTATCCAGCACAGAGAGAAGCTCAAAACTTCCCTTCCCTAATGAGTCTTAAAGGAGTCTTCATTGCTACTAATTCCATAGTTGACAGTATTGACTTATACTTCAGTGAATTTAATATAGTTAATACAGGATGTATTATTAAATCTGGCTTTGATTCCTTTGTGTTGTTTAGGATAGTGCCAGCATTTCTAGATGGCCTTGCCCAAACACATAGGATCAAGCACTACCTTGTGTGAAATTAACAATAATGAACACTTACTGGAGCTGATAATTACGTTAGGGAAGGGAACTGAACAATGAAGAGCCTTACCTGCAAGGATGGGACCATGTTACAGCACAGCTGAAGTATGTGCTGTTCCAATACTGAAGGCTTTGCTTCATCACAAAGACCTCTGGGTTGCAGTAAGACTTTGAGCAGGGACAGCCGAAGCTTGGTATGTTCCTCTAACTGGGATGGTTCACAATAGAGATACCACAGAAATGGTGCCATTATTTGGATACATGAAACTTCTGACCTGCAAGTCATGTAATAAGTTCATCAGTTACTAAGTGAAATATACAAATATCATCAGAAGAAACAGCTCTTGCCTCAAGGGAATAAAAGACACGGTTTCCTCTGGAACAAAATCTGAGTGACCATGACCCATAAACATGTAATAATCTCCCTAAGTAATAATCTCCAAGCTCCAATGAAGAAACATTTTCACAGAGATTGTATAATAACAAAATCAAGAAAGTTAAAAATCAAGTCATTTTTAAAGTACAGTGGTGAAAACATCAGAGAGGTGGTTACAGAATGATGGAAAGATCTCTCTCGGAAGCTATGGTGACATTCATAGCTTTGGGGAGGAGGAAGCTAGTAGACTTGTATGTTAAGAAATTTCTAAAGGTTTTTATCCATCCCATGATGCTAGAATGAAAACAGAGGTGGACAAGGAATGGCTCCTCATGTGGCTAAAGCTAGCCCAAAATAAACTATAATTAGACTCTGGAACTGCAACACCTCCACTTCTCCACATCACTAAAGTTGTAAACAGGCAGCCAGTCTTTGCAGACACAGCTTCTCTCCAAGAATTCTCCTTCACACTATCAAGCAGTAAGTGGCACATATCAACCTACAGCTTGTGGTACATCATAAACTGCCCTAGCATCAAGTAGCTTTGGAATATGCCATGACCTAATAGGATCTTGAAGGGAATGACTCAACAGAAGGAGGCACTAAGCCAGATTCCCAGGACACTTCTACTTTACAATAGTGGCAACACTCCAAAACCAGTCTATGGTGAATATCAAAACCATCTGAGAACATTTATTAGAATTACAGATATTAGGATCTATTCTCCAAGAGTATCACAAAGGCTTACATTTGTTAAAAAAAAAAAAAAAAACTTTTTAGATGAAATTTATATAAAGTCCATACAACCATCCTATTATTGTGACAGTTCAAATTTATAGTATTCCATGACTTTCTTTTCCATAATTTTAATAACTGTCAGTCAACCAAATCAGAAAATATTTAATGTAAAGTTCCAGAAATAAATAACTGTTAAGTTTTAAGTTGTATACATGCTGAGTAGCATGAGAAAGTTCCAAACCATCCCACTCTGCTCCTCCAGGACACGAACCAAACATACTATGCATGGTTCTCTAGGCCAGTAGCTCTCAATTTGTGGGTCATGACCCTCCAGGGTGGAATGACCCTTTCATGGGGGTCATAGATCAGCTATTATGCATGTAAGATATTACATTATGATTTATAACAGTAGCAAAATCACCGCTATGTAGTAGCAATGAAGTAATTTTATGCCCGTGGGTCACATATGAGGAACTGTATTAAAGGCTCACTGCATTAAGAAGGTTGAGAACCACTATTCTATGCCTTCAGGAGTCTCTTGGCAGCCATCTTGGTGTCAGATCAACTGTCAGGTAGTTTCATTACTTTCTGTGCCCAAGAAACCCTTACTTGACTCACTAATAACACCAATGAAGTGCCAAAGAGAAGCCATAAAGAGCCTCTTTTCATGAACAAGGCATAGCATTCAACTTAAGAAAAAAATCGCATGCTAAAGTTACTAAGATCTGTGGTAAATGATTGTTACCCTTTCACCTTTTTGGTAAGCAGCTCCTCTATATCACACATACTTCAATTTTATTCATCATTTTAGGCATCCACTGGATTCTTCATTTTAGTGTTCCCTCACAGATAAGTGGAAATACTTTATTGTTACCTTGTTAACCTAGAGAATATACTAGTAATTCCACTTTATAATTTTAACTTATTTGATCCTTACCAGAAAGATAGATAGATAGATAGATAGATAGATAGTAGATTGTGTGTGTGTGTGTGTGTGTGTGTGTGTGTGTGTGTGTGTGTGTGTGTAGCTCAGACACACAGCTACAGAAACTAAAAGATGAATGAAGTAGTTGCCCACAACCTCCTCTTGGGAATTTCCAACTCAAAGGAGTGATATTATGGATTGAAATAACTTTAATATCTATTTAGATTTATTATATCTCAATAACTCCCAATCCCAAGATGTCATCATGTCAGAATGAACTTCAAAGGTAAAATAAAAACCTGACTATATCATTAACCAACTTAAAACAGTTTGTCCTATGACAAAGTAGTGAAGTGAACTGTAACAGCTCCATGGTTCAGCCTCTGCCTACCTTCCCAGCCTCACTACCCACTGAATCATTACACTTAATTCAGGTCTTCAATCACTCCAAAAGGCCCCCAACTTGCTAGTCTTTCTATTTTTATCATCCTCTAGTTCTGCAGTTTGCAATGACTTCCTGGGGTCCTTTTCCTTCCCTAACAGGTGGTCTACGATCAGATCACCATCATGTGCTTCCACAGCACAATTGTTTGTTATCGTGGTATGTATAGTTTCTATATCCCTTGACAAACCATAATTCAAATGAGGACATAAACCACAGATTTCTGTTGACTGCTGTATCACCAAGACTGTATGCATCAACATGGTTACATAAGGTTACAGATACTCAAAACTAGCATGGATCAGTCAAATATTACCCTATTCTTTTTCATTTTATTCAATGTTTGCATTTATTATTTGTAACAATAGTGATTATGGCCAGGCGTTGGTAGCGCACAGCTTTAATCCCAGCACTCAGGAGGCAGAGGCAGGTGGATCTCTGTGAGTTCGAGGCCAGCCTGGTCTCCAGAGCGAGTGCCACGATAGGCTCCAAAGCTATACAGGGAAACCCTGTCTCAAAAAACAAATAAAAAAAAAAGAAAAAAAATAGTGATTATGATACAAAGCTTAACTAAGCATTCTTTTTCTTTATACATAAGTAAAACTGTATTGTTGAGCTTCCTTAACGATAAAATGCTATTCAAAAATCACCCTGGCTTAATCTCTTCTAATTTCATACTCTGCATTTCCAGAGTTCTAGGGTGATTCCTTACTATCACAGTGAGGTACATAGACAGGGCAATAAAAAGGAAGAGAATAAAACAAACAGCCCAAATCCCAAAGTGATAAAGAATATTTAAAATGTGGAACAATGTATATCTGTAGATATGTCTTCTATATTTGTGATTTCTACTAAATAAAACACAATAAAAAATACCTAAAATAAGGTTCTGAGCCCACCTCTGCCTGTGAAAAGCCATGCAACATATTCTCCTTAATTCCCTGTTCTCAAAACCCATGTGCTAAGCTAATAACCTTAAGGGACCAGACCTAAAGTCCACAATCTTATTAATTTATATAGTTCTCAGTTTCCTAAAAATGAAAGTGAAATCATAACGCAGGCTTTCAGTAAATGAAAGTAGAGCTTGCTATAAATACTGCCCAAAAGATCTAGCATGAGGATACATTGACATTGCAGTATAACTACTTATCTAGTTTAATCAATAATTCCTAACATGCAAAGAACTAGAAGGCCTTTACATTTTGCCTCCATCACATGCCTGTGAAGCACTGTTCCTATTCATATTAAATTACCAACCTACCTGTATCATCTTCTAAACAACAGCTTAAAGTCACTGCTCCTAAAATTAAATGTGATGGTCTACTGAAAAAGTGCAACCAGAATAATCAATTTCATACTGCAAAGTACAAACCTATAGTGCAAATTTAGAACTGAAATTACCCTTTGCAGGATCAGGCATGGTAGCACATACATTTAGTCCCAGCACTCAGGAATCAGAGACAAGCAGATTTCTGAGTTCAATGCCAACCCGATCTACACAGTAAAGTCCAGGCTAGCCTAAGCTACATGGTATTACATGGTATTATCAAGGAAGGGGGGGGGGAGTTACAAAAAAAATAAAACCATTGATAACTTCTATTTGGCTCAAAGAAATTTCATTAAGCAAATAGACATAAATTTATTTGGGTTTTTGTTTCTGACAGAGTTAAAGAAAGGTTTATTGAGTAACTATTAATATCATAGATATGAAAAACCATTTAAGGTGAAGGTGATAATTTTGAATCACCTTCTTGTAGCTGATTAAAGATACTGTAGTATGAGTGTTTCTATGGTAAAATAATCAACAATCCATTTATGGGTTCTGTTCACTAAAATTTGAGATTTATAAGGCACCTACAAATGTTCTGAGCACTATGAAGACAAGATGATGGAACAGGATCTCTATCCTCCAAAAGGTTTTAAAGCTGACAGCAAAGAATAAGACCAAAAGTAAGTTTAATCACATTACAAATCAAACTGCAAGTTGTTGTGGGAACACAAAAGAGAGACAATTCACCATTTACAATAAGCAAAGACAAAGAACAAAATATACAGAGGAATATTGGAGAGAGCTTAGTCAGGGAGTGGGATAAAATTCAGCAGCTATTTAATAACAGCTATTTTCTACTAAGTCTTAACAACCAATAAGCCTGGCAGATCATGTTCTCTTACTGCTAAAAGAAAAGAGAACGTACAGCCAGCTCTATCTAGCACATTTCCTCTCCTTCATAGTCATAGCAGCTAAAACAAGAACAACACACAGCTCCAGCTCTAAAATTAGCACACATGCCACTCTGTGTCCTTCATTTCTTTTACTTTGTGTTACCTTTCAGGGCATTGCTGGAAGAAAGCTGTCAGCTGCTGCAGGAGTAGGGGCCAGCAATCAGGCCTGTGTTCAAGCACGGTGATCAAAGGGTGAGGATGGTTCCTAAGAAACACAGGAAATCACACTGTCATTTCAGAGCACACATGCTGTCTATACACACACACACACACACACACACACACACACACACACACACACACACACACACACACACACACGGGAGGGGGGGGATGCATCTACAGACGTTTTCTTCCAAGACCTATGTCACAAAGCTATCACTTCCTAAACTAGGGTGGCTAATGACAACTGACTTTTCCCCATTTTATGTGACTCTTCTCCTGAAAAGAAAACAGATCCAGAATCTCAGAGTCTGAATTTAAAAATGGATCCTGCAATTTAATAGCTCAGACTCTGGCCAGTCTCCTTAACCCAGTAGTTCTCTCCAAACTATCCCTTGATGTCTTCATTCCTCTTCCTACTGTCCCTTCCCATGAGGGTAAGTTTCCTTTTCCTCTCACAGTAGGCTAACTTGTGAGCGCCATGTGACTTCTATTCTCATTTTATCTTTGTTCTTTTAAATGTGCTTATTTTTATTTTATATATGTCTATGAACCATTTACATCCAGTGTCTGGAGGCCAAAAGAGGGTATTGGGTCCCCAGCATCTAGGATTACAGGTGGTTGTTAGCTGCAGTGTGAGTGCTGAGAATTGAATTCCTGGTCCTCTGCAAGAGCAGCCAGTACTCTTAACACTGAGGAATCTCTCCAGGACATTATCCTTTTTTTTTTCTTTCCTACTTCCTCAGGATAAGATTCTGTGTCCTCAGCATATTTAGAGTATAGAAAAAGACAAAATGCTTCTCTCTCAAGGAGTAAAGTATCCAAACTGAAAAGCTTAACACTATTGTTGTGCAGAGATTTGTAGTACCTGGCCTGTTTCTGTTAAGATATCTATAAAGGCTTTTTGGAACATAGAATTTGAGACCTGGAGAATTCCCAGAGGATGTGGCTTTACAAAGAGCAACAAAACACAAGTCATTTTCTTCAATTGTTCAAAAGTCTAATAATAATTGTAAATGTACTGCTGTGTTGTTGTGTTGGTTTTGTTTGTTCGTTTGTTTTACTTTACATTTATTTATGGATTTTGGGGAGGAAAGGCACCTTGGAGTGAATGGAGATCAAAGGACAACTCTTGGGAGGCAGGTCCTCTTCCACCATGAGGGTTCTGGGGACTGAACTCAAGTCATCAAGCTTGGCAGCAGGTAATGTAGATAAATATTTCCTTAAACTTATTTGTGTAATGCTAAGGATCAAGCCCGGGGCCTCAGGGATCTAGGCAAGCACTTTACCACTGAGCCACATCTGCAGTCTTCAAGTGACTTCTTAGAGATGACCCTCTTGGTTCTTTCTAAACTTTAATTTGTTTGCTTATTGAGGAAGGGGCATGTGTACCATGGAGCATGAATAGAAGTCATAGGACACTTTGAGGGTCAGTTATTGCCTTACTCCTTATTTCTTCTGCACAATAGACTTCAGACTAGGTGGTCATGCAGCTTCTAGGCAATTCTCCTGTCCCCACTCCCCATTCATCATAGGAGTGGGAATATTGATGAACTCTATTCCATCTGGCTTTTTTATGAGGGTTCCAGGAATAAACTCAGGTCATCAGGCTTGCAAGAGTTTTTACGCACCGAGCCATCTTAACAGTCTTGTAAAGGTGTATCCCAGCCTAAACTCAGAATCATAATCCTCCTGCCTCCTCAGCACAGTCTACCAGCATGTACCACTGCAACTGGCTCTTATTGGTTCTTAAAGCATGGTAGTTTTTCCAGCATATCAGCACTATCACCTAGAAACTGAGAAATACAAATCTCTACAGTCCACCCAGAGTTAATGAGTCCAACTATAAACCACTAATTCCAACTGCAGTTTGCAGCTCAGAGTGGAGCTCTTGCACAGTGCCTAGCCTCAGTTACCTTGGGGTTGCTGGGAATAGTATTAATGCATTAGCAACTTAAAAAACAAAAAAAAACTCTATATGTGGTTCTAATATGCTCCACACTTTGACAGCTGCTATAAGGTAAAAACCTCTAAAGAAGGAAGTCCAGGGCAGATTATTTATTTTTCTGATTTATTCTGTGTTTTACAAAAAGAAAAAAAAAAGAGTTCAGTAGATCTATATCACTTAAGCACAAGGTTTGTGTTAAATTCCTCTCTGGCAGTCCCCCAGAACTTCTGGCTAGTATACATTCATCTCTTTGTTTTTGCTTCAAGCTTACCTACTCTACCATGCACTTATCTCATAGGACAGCAACCTGCTTTTAAAATGAAGGCTATTTCTGACCACCAGATTACCACATTGCTAAGGGATGGTTCCACAGAACATTTTATGCTAAGCCTCAAAATTCATGTCAAAATCATGTATACACATCCCAAACACTTTGACAGGTATACCTATCCAGAAACACCTTTCATCCTGTTGGTCACAGATATGAAGTCCAAACGCTCCCAAGTCCTAAACACCACTCAGCACATCCCAGCAGAACAAGATCTCAGACACTAACTGCAATGACTGTTCCTCCGTGTTCGGATCAGCCGTTATGTAAGGAACTTTGTACAGTACCACTCACTAATCCTCCAGCTAAGGGTGGCCTTCCTGGCTGCTTAGGAAGAAAATCTGAAAAATTAACAACAGTTTTTGTGCAATCACAAAGCCCTGAAATGCTTTCCAATTACTCTCTTATAAATCAGCTCCCATGGGGTGGAAAGATGACTCAGCAGTTAAGAGCACTGGCTGCTCCTCCAGAGGACCTGGGTTCAATTCCAAACACCCACAAGGTAGCTAACAACTGTCTATAACTTCAGTTCCAGGGGATCTGGCCCCCAAACATGAACAAACATGCAAGCAGAACACCAATGCATATGAAATAAAAATTGTTTTAAAAGATAAGAGAAATCACCTTACTCTACTTACCCTTACTCCTTCCTCTTCTGTGCCCCACAAAAGCCAGCATATCGCCTTAATCCTCTTACCCTTATTCTTCCAGTCTCTCCCACCCCCACAAGATAACTATTACAGATCAAGCTCCCCTTAAAAACATATTCAAATTAAAGCAGGTCAACAGAAGTAAAAGACAGTGGTTTCAAAATAGTAGTAATGACACACGTGCAAACAGCTCTTATTCTGACACACTTCTGTTCCACTCAGACTGCAAGGAATCATCACCTTGTTGCAGGACACTGAGGGCCTGCATCACCAGCTATTGGATTCAGCCAATTCCACTTAGCATCTCAGACTTAATCTCTAAATATTAGATTAAGTAGAATGTACTAGACTAAAGGTCCAGATTAATTACTGATTTAGACCTCTGGATAATTAACTTGTCCAGACAACTGTTTATGTCCACTCTAAATGACAATAGTATAGAGAATAATGTACAATATTGATTAAGAGAGACTGATGATAATCTTGAAAAAAAAGTGACATAGGAAGTGAAATCATTGACTCTTGTTGTTGATTAGTATTTGATTACTAATAGTACACTATTTCAAATGAACACAACCTAAAATCAATTATAACTGCCAAAATTCTGTTTTTACACTTTACACATAATGAAGCAAAGAGCTAAATTCTCCCTCATGAATCATCAGATTGATACATAAATACACATAAAATAATAAAGGCTTACACTCAAGTAATAGAATACACACACACACATATATATATTTCTTAATTAAACAAACACCACTGCTATCATGCAAAAGAGTGGCTTACTCTAAGCACTGCTGGCATGTTGGACAGTCAGTCTTCACTGTGGGTGCCATCTTATGTACCTCAACTTGCTTAGCAGAAACCTAGCCTTCCCTACCAGGTGATCTTCTACTCCCCCAGGTACTGACAATCAAAAAACGTCTTCAGACTCTGGGTAATGTCCCTGTTGGGGCAAAACTGTCTCTGGTTCAGAACCACTGAAGGAAGTCCACAGCTTGAACAGCAATGGGAAGCACAAAGCTGAACACAGAGTGGTAGGTGGGTACTAGGCCCTGACTTACACAGAACTAAAAGTAATCAATGAGGACCAAAGTTTACATTTCTTATGGAAATATACTTAACAAAAATTAGCATTGGATGCACAAGAGAAATTAGAAGAGGACTTAAAATGGAAAAAAATGTAAAATTATTCCTTTACAAAATAAATCTTATTCTAAAATAAACATCATTAGAGAATATAGATGCTAATTCAAGTATGACAGAAAATGAAGTTATTATCCTATCAAAAATATTGTAATTAGAGAATGTAAAATGTCATAAGGCTGAGTATAGTTCATTCTTGATGCATTCAAGATTTGATTATTAAATTTATGGATTATTCAAGATTTTTCTTTCTTCCTCTCACTAGCTATTTGTTAGCCATTCGACTTCTTTAAAATGTATCTAAATGAGAATGTTGAAGGCATTCGAAAGGACACACAATTTAGACTCTGAAATTTTAAATTGGAAGTGCCAATGATGGAGGGAGGGAGGAGTTTGCCTCAAGATTCAATTATCTACACCTTCCTACTAGTTACTGGTCAATGAGGCCCCAACAGCCCCCAAAACAAAATGACACAGCTATTGCTATTGCTATTGCTATTGGTTGCTCACCAGAAGTAGATGGTAAAACACTATTGCTGAAGACATCACACACTCACCTTGCAGTACCTAGTGGAATCAAGCTGGAACTGACCTGAAAATTTCCTCCCTGGTAGCTAATTTTAATAGTGCCAGAAGGTGCTATGCAAATTACTAGGATAGAAGAAAAGACAATGCTATGATCCAACAGAGAACTTTTCATGCTACAATACAGACCTGCCAGGCAAAATCTGCCCAAAATATTTTGGGGAGTAACCAATGACTTTTATATTGTATTTGAGGATTATTCCACAGGAGAGAATTTATGCCTAGTACTATAAACCTGAGCAAAGGTTCAGGAGGTCACATGTCCTAAGCAGGAACCTATTACTACTGTCTTTCTAAATCAACATGTTGCCAAACTATTTTCTAAATATTTATGTTTATGCATATAGACTACTGCTGCCCTCAAGCTTCTCTCTGTGGTGTTC